TCTCTCCTCCGCTCTTTCTCTCGCTCTCTATCTCTTTCTCTCTCTCTCATTTTCTTTCTCTCTCTCTCCTTTTCTTTCTCTCTCTCTCTCTCTTTCCCTCCCTCTCTCTCTCTCTTTCCCTCTCTCCCTCTTTCTCTCTCTCTCTTTTCCCCCCACTCTCTCTCTCTCTTTCCCCCCCCTCTCTCTCTCTCTCTTTCCCCCCTTCTCTCTCTCTCTCTTTCCCTCTTCCTCTCTCTTTTCCTCTCTCTCTCTCTTTTCCTCTCTCTCTCTCTTTTCCTCTCTCTATCTCTTTTGCTTTCTCTCTCTCTCTTGCTTTTTTTCTCTCTCTCTCTCTCTTGCTCTTTCTCTCTTTCTCTCTCTCTCTCTTGCTCTCTTTCTCTCTCTCTCATTTTCTTTCTCTCTCTCTCTCTCTCTCTTTCCCCCTCTCTCTCTTTCCCTCTCTGTCTCTCGCTCTCTTTCTCTTTCCCTCTGTCTGTCTCTCTCTCTTTCCCTCTGTCTCTCTCTTGCTCTTTCTTTCTCCCTCTGTCTCTCTCTTTCTCTCTCCCTCTATCTCTCTCTTGCTCTCTTTCTCTCCCTCTCTCTCTCGCTCTCTTTCTCTCTCTCTCTCTCGCTCTCTTTCTCTCTCTCGCTCTCTTTCTCTCTCTCTCGCTCTCTTTCTCTCTCTCTCGCTCTCTTTCTCGCTCTCTCTCTCTCTCTCGCTCTCTTTCTCTCTCTGTCTCACTCTCTTTCTCTCTGTCTCACTCTCTTTCTCTCTGTCTCTCACTCTCTTTCTCTCTCTCTCTCTCTTTCGCTCTTTCTCTTTCTCTCTCTCTCTCTCTCTCACTCTATTTCTCTCTCTCTCCCTCTCTATCTCTCTTTCTCTCTCTCTCACTCTCTTATTTTCTCTCTCTCTCTTGCTCTTTCTCTCTCTTGCTCTTTCTCTCTGTCGCTCTCTCTCTCTCTCGCGCGCTCTCTCTTTTTTACTCCCCTCTTATTCTCTATCCCCCTTCTCATTTTCTACTTCACTTTTTTGCTCTGTCCCCCCACTTTCTTTGGCCCGTATATCTCTTTCCCTTCTTCCTACATGCCCTCCCCTCTCTCTACTCTGTTAACAAAATTATCCCAATGGATCCAGGTGACATGGAAGTCTAGTCATGAATATATTGAAGCACTGGATGGAGACTGACTCAACAAGGGTTCACAAAGGGACTCATTTATGAGCTCCTCCAGGATTTCTATTGGTCCATGAGAGTGAAATTTACTGTTATTCATGCCTGAGAGAGGGCTGTCTCAAGTGAGGTATATCTATACATAGAAACCTATTTCTATCTGCCATTACTAGATTGTGAACATTTCGAATGATGTTACTGTAAAAAATGAAGATATTTTTTTGTTACTATTGTAGAAACAGTATAGGTATGCTTACCAAAAGCTTCACAGACTTCCACAATAATCTTGTATTGCTTGTAGTAGGTACCATTAAAGAAGTTGCAAGCATCGGCAGCTGCATCTCCATTTTCGTACCCAATGAAACCGAATCTTCTGAATGTACCATCCTTGTGAACAAGCTTTGCATCTGTGATATTTCCTCTCTCACTAAAGTGTTTCTTGAACTCTTCAATATTCACCTGCAATCAAGACATTATAGTTATCAACAAATCTGAGAAAACATTTAAGCCTTCATATCTAGACACTTAACCACTAAGATCCGGATGATGTTAATGGTTAATCGCTAGAAGAAAAAAATGTACTAGACATCAAAGGTCATACAGCATTATGGTCAAGTATTGTGGCAAAAAGGGTGGATGCACATGGAGGAAAGGGGGAGGAGGAGGGATTGGCGGAACTTGGGGAGGAGGAGGATGGATTTCGGCAAATACTTTGAATGTAGAGTGAATAGGAATAGAGGGTGGATAAGGGAGTGGAGAATGCTCTTGGGTCTTGGATGTCTTCAAGAGTTTTGGTTTTCTTATGTGGAGGAGAAGAAGAAATAGAAGTCCAAAGAGGATAGAGTAAGAATGTTTAGATTGTCTGGTGTGACGGGTAGAGTGAGGAGGAGGAGGAGGGGTAGGCACCAGGGAAGTTGTAGTGATTGGAGTATCTGGATTTAAACTGGAAAAGCAATTTGATTAGGGGAGAGAGAGCAGAGATAGGATGGTTCAAGGTAGAGGGAAGAGATACTGAGGGAGATACTGAGACTTCTCGAGAAGATGGGAAGGGACTGGAGCAAAGTACAGTTTTTGAATAGGTAGAAATGCAAAAACCTTGTCAGCATGCTTCCTATCTGGCCTCAAATAGAATGAGGCCTAATTGAATCTGAGTACAGTAAGTCCCCAACTTAAGAACATAATGGGGACCGAGAAGCTGTTTGTAAGTTGATTTGTTTGTATGTCGAAAATTGGGTCTCCATTACCTTTTTTCCCATTGTTTTAAAGTTTTGTTTACATTAAGAATACCTGTAAATAAAGCCCAATAAGTACAACATACCTTATACAGTACCAGACTATTGAACTATATTTGT